AAAGTTGGGAACAATGCACTGAAGAGCTATACAAAAAAGATGAAAGGATAACAGATTCCTTCCAAGAAGAATATTTTGAACCTATAGTTTTAGAAAGTGAAGTGAAAGCTATACTGAAAGCAATTGGGAGAAACAAATCATCTGGTGTAGATGGGATATCAATAAAGTTATTCCAAGCCACAGAAATGGAGTCCATCAAAATCTTAACAAGACTGTGCCAACAAATACGTAAAACAAAACAATGGCCCACAGATTGGAAATGCTCAATTTACATTCTAATTCTGGGAAAAGGAAACATTAAAGACTGCAGCAAGTATGAAACCACTGCATTATTTTTTCACACAAGTTAAGTGATGTTCAAAATCTTTCTACAAATAATGTTACCATATATGCAACAAGAAATGTCAGATGTTCAAGCTGGATTCAGAAAAGAAAGAGGCACTAGAGATCATATTGCAAATTTACATTGCTTACCAGAGCATACAAGAGAATTTCAGAAGAAAATCAGTTTGTGTTTCATAGACTGCAGCAAAGCTTTTGACTGCATCAATCATGAAAAGCTATGGTTAGTTTTAAAGGAAATGTGTGTCCCAAAGCCTCTGATTGTTTTGATGTGCAACCTGTACTTTGGACAAGAGCCCACTGTTAGCACAGAATATGAAGAAATAGATGGTTTCCAATTGGCAAAGGTGTCAGACAAGGATGCATTTTATCTCCCTGTATGCAGATATCTTAGGGAAAACTGGAGCAGACTTAGATGAAAGAGGAGTGAAAATTGGTGGAAGGAACGTTAACAGTTTTGAGATATGGAGATCCACTCCACATTATTGGCAGAAAACAGTGAAGACTTGAAACAACTACTGTTGAAGATTAAAGCAGAAAGTGCCAAAGTGGGATTACAGAAGAACATCAAGGAGACAAAAGTAACGACTACTGGGGAATTACACAACTTTAAGACAGACAATGAAGAAATTGAAACTGTTCACGATTTTCTATTTCTTGGCTCCATCATTAATCAAAAGAGAGACTGTAACCAAGAAATCAGAAGGAGATTGAGATGGGGAATGGCAGCCATGAAGGAGCTACAAAAGATTCTTAAGTGTAAAGGTGTGTCACTGGTGACCAAGATTGAGTTAATTCATGCCATAGTATTCCCCATAACTACACGTGTCTGTGAAAGTTGGACAATGAAGAAAGGTGACAGAAAAAAAGTAGATTCCTTTGAAATATGGTGTTGGAGGACAGTTTTACAGATACCAAAAAGACAAATAACTTGGTTCTAGATCAACTCAAACCTGAACTCTCCCTAGAAGCTGAGACTATTGTACTTTGGTCACATGATGAGAAGACAAGAGTCACTGGAAAAGACAATAATGCTAAGAAAAGTTGAAGGCAGCAGGAAAAGAGGAAGACCCAACACGAGATGAATTGACTCAATAAAGTAAGCCATGGCCCTCAGTTTGTGAGATCTGAGCAAGGCTGTTAACGATAGGGCATTTTGGAGAATATTAATTCATAGGGTTGCTATAGGTCAGAAGTGACTTGACAGCACTTAACGCACACACCTATCTGAAGGCATATGAACTATGCTGAAACCACTAATGATGGTATACTTCTAAATAAATCTTATTTATTTGTAAGAGAAAACAACTGCTTTACTTAGAGTAAAAGAACCCCTTTTATCTCAGAGCTACCCCTACATCCTGACAATTTTCTCATTCTACCAAATATAAGTCATCCTGTATTTTTGGTTCAACTAAGAATTCTAAGGCAGGATCCTTTGGTAACAGTGAAAATAAACAGGAAACACTAAGGAAGGCAAGTAGGAAAGGTAACAGACATCACCTCAGAACACTACAAAGAGGTGCCTTTACAAATGTTACCTATAAGGGGTCTCAGTGCAAGGAGGAGTCTAATAGTTATGGATACAAGTTTCTAAATGCGTCATTTGACTCCTAGATTATCTTTCTTTACAAACAAAATGCTACAATTTCTTCAGAGTAAATAAATGTGTAGAAAACTAAAAGTGAGACCTGTGGTTTCAGTAGCTACTAGCTGGTCCCTTCTGTTTAATGAAATATCAGCCAAGGCTGGAGCAAACACCTATATATAATCTGTTGACTTCCTGTCTGTCTGCAGATGCTGACAGGCTGTAAATCATTCAGTTCCCACTGGGCCCTGGCTGTACACCTGCATGCAACTTTACTCATCAGATGTAGCTGCCTCGCTCTTCACACAGCTTCTCAAATCCTAACCTACCACATTTTTTTTCCTTCAGAACCACTTGGTTTAAATATTTTTCTCTGTCTAATTGTAATCCTTACTGGTTCAAATGAACAAAGCCAAAATTTCTAGCCCCTTGATACTCAGTGGAAATGAAAACCACACTGGTTAGATCTTGATGCAGAACTAAAATGAAAGCACTCTAAACTATGGAATATGTACATAATGGCAAGAATTACAGAGAGTGTTAATGGTTATTATTCTCAAAGAATGCATTCCAACTTTTCGGCAACTTGGTTGCCTATATTACATCCTTTCTATGGATGGGCTGAACCACAAACCGAACCACGAACCCATAAGAACCAGGAGGCTGGTTCATGAATTGACCGAGTTCACATTGGTTCATGAGCCATTTAAAACTGAAACCCCTGCCTTCTGCTTCCCGCAGTTTTTCACGAGGAGTAGAAAGCAGATGGCCATTTAAACCAAACAGCTGAGCCCTGCTGCTCAGCTGTTTAGTTTAAATGGCTGGGGGCCATTTAAACCACTGGTTTCTGCTAACCACAAAAAGCTGTGGTGAGCAGAAGCAGGGGATGTAATGGCTGGGAGCCATTTAAACCCTTGCTTTCTGCTCCCTGCAGCTTTTCACAGGGAGCAGAAAACAGTGTTTTAAATGCCCCCCCCCACTTTCTGCTCCCTGCAGCTTTTGCAGAGACCAGAAAGCAGGGGTTTAAATAGCTCCCGCGGTGGTGAGCAGAATGCAGGATTTGAAATGGCTGGGAGCAGAAAGCAGTGGGGAGAGCAGAAAGCAGTGGTTTAAATGGCTCCCATCAACCAAATGGCTGAGCAGCTATTTTTCCTGAAGAGCAGAAAGCAGAGTTTTAAACCCCTTTTTGCTCTTCATAAACCATCACAAACTGCAACAAAAATTGTGAAAGTTTTTGGTGATTTTTCAGTTTGTGAACATTGTTTCGCAAACCACAAACCGGTCAAAATTCGTGACAAACTTTAGTTTGTCAGCCAGCTCATGCCCATCCCTACTCCTTATCACTTTGCATAGTGATACAGTTTTTTGTTGGTTTTTTTTAGTTTCTAATGTTTCCCCCCAATTTTTATTAAATTGATAACAAGAATCCATACAGAATGTTATACATTGCAAAGTTCATATAGTATCAAACTTATAAACATCAACAACAATCTGCTAAGCTATATAACCTGAACTAAGAAACCCACAAGTTTAGCCAAAATCTTAACTGTATAAGATTGGTAATAGTTTAAGAACTGCTAAGGCAAAAATTTGATGATAAGAAAACTAATGAGTAAAACAAAAAATCAATTTGTTTGTATGCTCGGGATAAGATTCTCCACACTCCACGGGAGGTCTGATCGAGTAACTGCGCAGTAGTTTGCCCCAGGGCAAACAGCCACGCTTCTCCCCCGCAGTTTCCTGCCCGTGTGACCGGGGCCATTGTTTTGCAAACCACAAACGGGTCAAAATTCATGACGAACTTCAGTTTGTCAGCCAGCTCGTGCCCATCCCTACTCCTTATCACTTTGCATAGTGATACAGTTTTTTGTTGGTTTTTTTTAGTTTCTAATGTTTCCCCCCAATTTTTATTAAATTGATAACAAGAATCCATACAGAATGTGATACATTGCAAAGTTCAACAACAAGCTGCTAAGCTATATAACCTGAACTAAGAAACCCACAAGTTTAGTCAAAATCTTAACTGTATAAGATTGGTAATAGTTTAAGAACTGCTAAGGCAAAAATTTGATGTTAAGAAAACTGATGAGTAAAACAAAAAATCAATTTGTTTGTGTGCTCGGGATAAGATTCTCCAGTAAAATGGATGAGGATACATTCTAGTATTTGAAATCATGGCATGGAATATCATAATATCATGTGAAGACACTAGGAACAGTAGATTTTCAAGAGAGACTACCACGGTGCTTCAGTATGTTCGGATGAAATTGTGAACAAAATGAAAATCAACTCTGGGGAGTTTCGTCAACCCACTTTTTCTGTACTTTTGAACCCACTTTTCCTCTGTATTTTGGGTGTGCATATGAAAGACAGAACATGTAACAGTGTGGATGTGTTATTAGTTATTATAAAAGACCATTGTTAAATACAGTGGAGAAATTGTATTTCATTTCATCCTAAGCGCTGAGTGTCAGCCTGTTTTCCGGTTTACTAGTTGTCTTGGGCTGTTACCATTTATATTACTGATTTTTCTCCAGGGGAACTGATCTCTGTCACCTGTAGATCAGTTGTAACAGCGAGAGATCTCCAGCCACCATCTAAAGGTTGGCAACCCAACTTAAGATGAGATTATTACCAAAATTGACCAAATGTGTGCAAATACCACTCCAATTATTATTTATATCCATGGCCAATTGACTCCAGTGGAATTAGAGCTGGGTCTAGCACTCACTGTTCAAGGGGAAAGGGGTCCTCAATTATTGATGTAAATATTTGAAACTTATAAATCTAGCTAAGAAAAGACTATGATTTAACCTTTTTTCGTGTTGGTTTTCCCCCTTCTATATGAAGACGGCAGACACGCTCCATCACTGTCTGAAAGGAAGCTCGATTGTTTGTGTTTGAACAACTGCTCACAATATGTTCATGTGTAGCCACTGTTGAGAGTATTGGCCTTGACCTCAGCTAATGTAAATGTTAGCCTGAAGATGCACTGAGCTCGTCATTCGCTCAATAGCTGCTACTGTCCAGAGTGCAAATATTTCTCTTTTCTTGAAATATTTTTGCCTACCTGGCAGCAATCCTTCCAAGCTCGAGCAAACAAAGGCACACTTCTCTGGGCTGCTTGTGGAGGACTGCAAAAGCAAAATGAAGACAGGAAATATTTACAACAAAGGTATTTTAAGCATCTGAAAGATATACTGAGCTCAACTTGCCAAGTCTTGAACTTTAACACCATAGCTTTGAACTCTTGACACTGGCACATGTGACCCGCCGTGAGCCCACTCACAGGATGGGCGGGATACAAATATGAAAAATAAATAAATAAATAAAATAAAATGTTGCCGGAGATTAATCAGGCAGAATTTTTTTTAAAAAAAATTAATGTAAGTACTTACAGAAACACAGCAATATTCAGAATTACTATTATGGACTTAATTACTGCAGCAAGAATGGCTTTTGCTAGACACTGGAAGTTAGATAGCTAGCCATCAATTCAACAATTGTTTTAGAAAATTGGGAGACGTATCTGTCAGAAGAATGAAATGTTTAAAAGGTACTTATTACAGCATCCTTTTATACTGGGTAGAGATAAACTTTTCTAAATCCTTTGGTTATAATAAATGTAGGATTTGTTTTTTATGTAGAAGTATTTACAGTAAGACAGATAGCTTTGTTTGACTATCATGCTTATGCAAAGGATTTATTTTTTATGTTTTGCCTTTGTCTTAATGCTCTATATTATTACTGGAGCAGTCTGTCAATTAATATGGAGGCCCAGGTCACACACACAGCCAGGCTGGCATTTTTCATCTACGCCAAGCCTGGCAGTTAATCCCTTTTCTGTCCTGCTCCAACGTAGCCACAATAATCCATGCGATGGTCCTCTCCAGGCTAGACTACTGTAACTTGCTGTACACTGGCCTGCCCTTGAGACTGACCTGAAAGCTCCAACTGATCCAGAATGCAGCAGCGCAATTCCTAACAGAAACACCACAGACTGTGCATATTCGACCTGTGCTTTGTCAGCTGCACTGGCTTCCAGTAGAGCACTGAGTCAAATTCAAGGTTCTGACTTTCAAGGCCTTGAATGGTCTGAGACTGATGTATCTGCAGGACTGCCTCCTCCATTACACCCTGGCAGTGTTCCCTCTAAGCTGAGTTAGGGTGAGCTAGCTCACAGTTTTTTAGCCTCTGGCTTCCAAAATTTTGTCTTAGCTCAGGAAGGAGGGCTCCAGAGCAAACTAATGTATGCAGTAGCCAAGTCACTCACTCACAGTTTTAATGCCAGTAGCTCACAGGGTAGAATTTTTGCTCACGAGACTCTACAGCTTAGAGGGAACATTGCACCCTGGGGAAGCATTATGCTCTTCATAGATCAACTTGCTGGTGGTCCCTGGCCCCAGAGAGATCTGGCTGTCCTTGACCAGGGCCATAGTTTTTTCAGCCCTGGTCTCAACCTTGTGGAACTCTCTGCCAAATAGCATCAAGGCCCTGTGGGATCTCATGCAATTCTGCAGGGCCTGTAAGGCAGAGATGTTCTGCCAGGCATTCGGTTGAGGACAGCAATGGTTAAATATCATGGTTGGCACCCTACTTGAACTCCTACCCCTTATAGAGCTTACTCCTCCCCCCCGAATGTGTGAAGCACCCACAGATCAGATATGGGAAGGAGCTACAAATTTTTCGCCATTTGTTTTTTTATTACTGTTTGTTTAGCTTGGTTTTATGCTTATGTTTTTATGCTTTTAGAATTCTGTACATTGCCTAGAGCCCACAACTGTGGGGATAGGTGATAAATGCATGGAATGAAATAAAATAAATAAATAAATTGCTGCTTTCTCCTCACGGGGTTGCAAGTGGATAGGTGTAGCTTTGCAAACACTAGATAAAAATGTCTCCGTGACAGAAAATGAGGGGCACTTTGGAGTGGAAAAGGAGTTCATATGGGAAGGTTTGGAGTGCCATCCTAAGCAGTTGCACCCTAAGTCAACCAACTTCAGTTGACTTGGAAGCACAGGTCATTTCGGGGGGGAACGCAGGGGAACGCAGTTCCCCCGGGTGAGGTACGGGGGCGGGGCACATGATGAAGCCCCGCCCCCTGCTTCCGGCCGCCCCTCTTCCAGCCCTCATTCAGCCAGGAGGAGGCAGGAGAAGAGGGAGGGTAAGTTGCTTCCTCCCTGCGTCTCCCCACCCCTGCCTGCCTGGGGCCAGGGAGGGCCTTCGCGGGGCTTCCTTGCACTCCCGCTGGCCTTGCAGGTCCACCGCCGGGCCCCCCATGGGGGGGGGCTGTGAGCCCGGCGGTGGTGGCTGGGACCGTTGGGGGCGGGGGGTGTGGACTTATGACACATTTTCGGTGATGTCAGGGGGTGTGACCTTATGACACACTTCCGGTGAGGTTAGAGGGTGTGGAATATGCCAATGAGTTATGCTAATGAGTTCCCCTAGCTCTTTTTCTACGAAATGACCCCTGCTTGGAAGCACGTAACCGTACTTAGGAAGGCACTATTAATCACTTTCTCTTCTTTCTCCACCTTCTCCTTGAATATTTCTCCACCTCCCAAAGCTGCTTTTCTTAGCCAGAAAAAGAGGCAGGGATACCAACGTATTTGCATGGGAAAGTGTGGTTTGCCCATCAGAAAGGACCTACTAAAACATTATATTATTTACTGCCTTTTCAAAAAACTGGTGTTCCATGGAAATGTTTACTGGAAGCAGCAACGACAAAAATCTGTCTCTTGAATACCAGTAGATGTCTTGAGTGCTCAAGACTTCACATTTTGTTGCAGGAAACAAAATAATACGTATTTTGTGAGTTAGATTGCTGGGTTCATTACAGAATAACTCAGGCGTGTCAAACTCATTTGTTATGAGGGCTGGCTCTGATATAAACAAGACCTTGTTGGGCTGGGCCATGTGTGTCATAAAATGTGATGCCAGGTAGCAGAGATATAAACTTTATAAAGGACACAAACACAAAGGTTGGTTTTTTTTACTTAAAATAAAACCATGCTTAAAACATTAGCACTCTTGCAATATTTTGTTTGTTTAACAGTGTCTGATAAATGACACCTCTTGCTCTGAATTATTGCATCAAAACGTCTGTGCTGTTGCAATCTTGAGTGTGCTGTTCAGATGTGTACCTGTAAACTGCAAACCTACAATGACACAGCAGCAGCAGAACTGGAAGAAGAAGCAGAAGATGACCAGTTCCACTGCGGGCCTGATAGAAACCCTCTGGGGGCCTGATCTGGCCCCCGGGCTGCATGTTTGACACCCCTGGAATAACTGATGTGGTAGAACTATACCACTGGATTATACCACTTCATACTGAAAGTGCAGGGGGTTGGGGGTCATTTTTTAAAATGTTCCCCATATAAATTAATGTTGGCATGCATATGTAATCAACTTTCACACTGGGGACAAGACTACAGTATCTTTCTCACTGAAATGTAGGCCAATTTTACATACTAGGTACATTCAAGCAGAGAGTAAAGTACATGCATATTTATTTTTAAAAGCTAAGAATGACAAGTAGGTTGTTTTAGTCTCGAAGAAATCCTAAGCATGTCTAGTCATAATCCTACTTGGGTCTATACAAAGGGGCTTATTCCCAGGAAGGTATTAGTGTTGGATGTTTAAACCAACAGCTTGTTCAATACTGCCAACTTCACAGATGTTTTTCTAACCCATGGGGGGGAGGGGGAAGCAAAGGAACCAAAGTTCCTATTAAAAGTTTGTAACTATTTGAAACAGGTCACATTACCCACCAAATTCAGGACATTATCAATATATCTAATTGTCAGCATGACCCTATCTGTGGTTATTTAATTTAGACACTGAGGCCATTGACAGACAAACCAAGATTTTAAGGCTAGCAGTACTGCTGTGGTTGCATAGCAATGCCCACTGAGGGCCTTAATTTCTTAAATCAGCAGGTACTGTGCTTTTATCATTTGGTGGAGTGGGTTAGTCCACAGTGTTTGTGTGTCTGCCTGCCTCTCTCTCTCTCTGTATATGACAGATCTTTCTACATACCTAAGAAATCCAATATATATCTCTCTACATGAATTTTCACACTGTGGACTAACCCACTCCACCAAATGATAAAAGCACAGTACCTGCTGATTTAAGAAATTAAGGCCCTCAGTGGGCACTGCTATGCAACCACAACAGTACTGCCAGCCTTTAACTCTTGGTTTCTGTCATTAAAAGGCATGTGAAGGGGGCAGAGCCTAGGCCCACCAGCAAGCACCAGACAATTTGCTATCACCTTGCTTGCATGACTTACCCAGGCATAGTTGCTTGCTACTGTTCAACAGTGGCCACCCCCCAAAAGCCAGTGTGGTAGTGTAAACTAGGATCTAAGAGACCTAGGTTCAAATCCATACTCTGCAATGTGTGATTTTGGGCCAGTCACACACTTTCAGCCTAACCTACTTCACAGGCTTGTTGTGAAGATATGGGAGGCAGGGGGGGGCCACAGAACCACCCTGAAGGAGGAAAGAAACTATCTAACAGATGGAAGTGTACACCCAGGTGGGCAGCCATGTTGGTCTGAAGGAGCAGAGCAAAGTTAGAGTTGAAAATGAGAGATGAAAACAAGGAAAGCTGGTTTTAGGGAAACTGCCAGGGGGAGAGGAGGAGGAAATAGTGTGGGAAATATATAGGGGAAAGTGGGGTGTCCCCCACAAGTCCTTTCAAGTTCCTTACCCTGCAACTGCACCCAGCTCAACTGGCATCATGCAACTATGCCACTGGGCCAAACTTTGTCCAGGGAGATGCTGCCAGGGGGAGGGAAGGCTGAAGACTGGGGGGAGGGGAGAGGGATATAGTAATGCATGATTTGAGAAAAGTGTAGCTGTTAGGCTTACGTGGGTAAATTTGTGTCAAACACTCTTATAAATCAGTTTAGCTAAAGCAGTTTTGAAGTATCTTGTGGGATATTAAGACATGTTGCATTCATTTTTAAAATGATGTAGACTTCCAGTGGATGAAAGCTTGTAAAATGATAAGACGACAATGTGATCAAGTAAGGGAAAGTTTCTTTCCGAGTTCTGCCTCTCAGGGTAAACAAATACCCTTCAGTGCATCTGGCCATTGATATTCCATACATAACTTTATGCATTCCACG